GACCTTGCATAAATCAATCTTTACAACAACTATGCAAATAGATTAACACTGTTATTCTCATATTGCAGATGGAAAGTGAAGACCAGCAATGGTGACTTGCTTAAAGAACCCACCTTCTGAGTTCATGGCTGAAGTGAAATCTGGTTTTTTCAGCTTACATGCTTAGCGCTTCCACAACACTAATGCTCAGAATTTAAGATATCTGTCTTCTCTAAAACGTATGGTTTTTTTCCACTGTCCTGTATTGAAATATTTTTGGCAAAAGGTAACTGAAACTATAACCTTTTAATGAGGGTGAAAGAGGAGAGTGCAAAATATGGTCTGAAGCTCAACATCAAAAAAACGAAGATCATGGCCACTGGTCCCATCACCTCCTGGCAAATAGAAGGGGAAGAAATGGAGGCAGTGAGAGATTTTACTTTCTAGGGCTCCATGATCACTGCAGATGGTGACAGCAGTTATGAAATTAAAAGACGCCTGCTCCTTGGGAGAAAGGCGATGGCAAACCTAGACAGCATCTTAAAAAGCAGAGACATCACCTTACTAACAAAGGTCCGTATAGTTAAAGCCATGGTTTTCCCAGTAGTGATGTATGGAATTGAAAGCTGGACCATAAAGAAGGCTTATCGCCAAAGAATTGATGCTTTTGAATTATGGTGCTGGAGGAGACTCTTGAGAGTCCCATGGACTGCAAGAAGATCAAACCTATCCATTCTGAAGGAAATCAGCCCTGAGTGCTCACTGGAAGGACAGATCCTGAAGCTGAGGCTCCAGTACTTTGGCCACCTCATGAGAAGAGAAGACTCCCTGGAAAAGACCCTGATGTTGGGAAAGATGGAGGGCACAAGGAGAAGGGGACGACAGAGGACGAGATGGTTGGATACTGTTCTCGAAGCTACCAGCATGAGTTTGACCAGACTGCGGGAGGCAGTGGAAGACATGGGTGCCTGGCATGCTCTGGTCCATGGGGTCACGAAGAGTCGGACACGACTAAAGGACTAAACAACAACAACCATGTTTTCTAACTTTCAATAAAGAAGTATTTAAAAATAAATAAATCTCTGTCTTCCAGGAACATGAAAGTGATATTCTGTGTAGTTCTGCCAAACAACTGGTTTCAGCAGCAGCTGGACCAAGAAGTGCATGTAATATATAAATTGTGCACATTTATTTTGCATGATTTATTCTTCTTTTGCTGGTCAAAAGACAATTGCAAAGAGCTGTACCAGCATCTTGCTCACATCCACTTCAGGCTTTTGAGATCCCCCAAGGCATTGCACAAGCACTTTCAAGTTTATATTTGAAACCTAAGGAGCTAGAAGCTTGTTTTAAAAATAAAAGGGAAACTGGGCTGCTTTGAATTTGGTAAATTCTGCATTCCATACCAGATTTGACACTCATAAATTGTGATTACAGAACACACACAGCCATACACACACACAGAATATTCCACAAAAATATACTACAATATATTCCAGAAACTATGTAGTTCAGAGATCATGTGTCATAGAGGAGCATCCTATATTGCTCCAGCCAGGTTTATTCAACCTGCTCTACTGCAGTAGTTATTTTCACCAACAGTTCATGAGTTTATGCATCACTGGGGTCTGTTTGGTTCTGCATTTGTAGAGCAGCTGGAGAGGGCAGTTCCTCTGAGCATATGCAGAATGCCTTTCCCTCGTTGCACATAACCACTTGTGCTTGGGATTAAACGTCAAGGTTTTTCTCACCAAAGGGTGTGGCTTCCATCCAAGTTTAAGTTCAGACACCATTCTTTCCCTAAAGACTGTATTTGGGCTACTGGTTTAATCCGCATTAAGGCTGTTCCTGTGGCCTATGTGAGACCTTTCAAGAGAACCGCAAGGTTCAGGAAATCTCTCCCACAGGGGAACTCGTCTGAAACCTTCTTTTCCTCAGTAGCCAAGCCCCAAAGTATCCTTTACAAACTGTTCAGGGAAGGTAAACAGCAATTAGGTTGAACTTAGGTGGAAATGATGGTGGTGATGATGACTTCATTCAGTCTGGATAAGGAATTATGCAGAAGCTGTCACAGTTTGTTGTCCTTGGTGCTTGGAGAGCCTCTTGTCCTCCCGTCATCCCCTCTAATGCTCTCATGGTTTTATCCTACTCATCATTCTATATAAAGCAACTCCTGGCCCTGTAAATAGCAGGGTCTTATGATGTATTCTCTGCTGGAGAGGGATCTGTGGGGATATTTTTAGCTTTGAGACTCGAGGGATTTGGGGATTGGTTGGTCTAGCTTTTTATTATGAATTTGTGACAGAGAGAAAAGTCATGGGTTGCCACCTCCTCGCCCCCATTCTCTTCCTCTCAGCCCTCTGTATATCTGTGCCAAAAGCCGCTGCCTCGATTGCCTTCCCTCCCTCCTCCCTCCTACAATTCTTCCCACAGTGGTTTGGATTATTTTATGCTTTTGCTGCAGTATCATATCCCAGAGGAAGGCTGGGTGGAGCGTTTGTACAAGAGTCTTTGATGGATTCTGGCTGGGCCTCTGGTTTCAGGCCAACTCATCTTCAAATACTCTTATCTCTGTGCTGTTCCCAAGTTCCCCTTCTCCTCATCCCCATGAAGCAGAAGACTGTTTAGGAAGCCTGCAACCTCTCTTACTCAGCTACGGTTCTCCAGGAACGACATAAGCAGTCGATCCCTCAGCGTCAACGTTACGGCTCTTTGTAGCCTAACCTTCAAGGAATAGGCCTTCAGCCTGGACCGGAAGAGATGCCCGATAACCCATCTCAGAAAAACATCAGCCCTGCTGACAACCGATGGCTGTGCATATACACAAGCGCACACCAAAGAATAATTCCAGCAGCACCGTCACTCAGTGCGATGTTAAATACGTCATTGCATTTAATCTGCAGTCTCTTCTCCTATTTTTAAAAAAATCTGATGGGGCAGCAGAATGTACTCTATGTGCAGGGATACATGGGGAGGCGGCAGAGTGCTGAGCTTGCCTGTGCATGAAATGACGTGAAGATGGGCACTGCGTGGCAAAGGAAGCTGGCAGCGTGCAACGCGAGGTGTGTGGGGGAGTCGTGCGACTGTGTCAGAACTGGCGAGTGGGCTGCGGGGATGGCGGGTGACGTATTTCACAAGGGAAAGTGTCAAGCGGGGCAATTGAGGAAGGATGTAGCCCACTTGGCATCTCTTTGCAGGGGTGGCAAACATCTTGTTATTGTAGTAAGCAATGGAATTGGTACCCTGGCAACAGCTGCTGGAGCAGCTTTCCCCAACGTAGTGCCCTCTGGATGCTTTGGATAGCACGTCCCATCACCTCCAGCCTGGGCCACCTAGGGCTGATGGGAGTTGTAATCCGAGACACATAGAGAAAGCACCATGTTCGGGGTGGCTGTGGCACGTCCTTTACAGCTTAACATGCATGGAGGATAACAGTCATTGTCTCATGATGGATATAGGCTGGAAATCAGAGGGAACATGAATACAGAATGCCAGTGCTGACAAACAACAGTGCAATGCCACTGTTGCGCTCACGGCCTGCCTGTGGATTTCCCATTGGAAAATCCCACTGTGGGCAGCAGAAATTGGACTAGGTATGCCCCTGCTCAGATCTAGCGGAGCTCTCATGTTCACTAAAGAAAAATGCTGATGGGCATGTGGGGCCCAGAGGGATTATGACCTCTAGAGGAATGCTCAGTCATATTACAGCAGGGTGCATGCCCTAAGCCCCTACCTTTGGCCCCCTTAGGTGCTGTTTTTAAGAGGGCTATTGGGGGTGCGTGATTTGGTTATAATGCAAGCATTCACTTGGAAGCAAGCCCCCCCACCACCACCACAGGAACCCTGCAAATCAGCATGCTTAGGAGCATATAGTTTGGGCTTCCTACCCCCCCCCCAAGGATGAGTAAGAGTATTTAAAACAAAACCAAATGAAGTGAAGAGGACAAATAAGAAGACCCTGCTGGATCAGATCAAGAACCCATCTAGTTCCACATCCCGTTCCCCACAGTGGTAACAGTAAGCCCTAGTGGCGAGTGGGGTCTACAGTTTGTGGCTTGCAGACCCAAACATAAACCTATGCTCCCCCTGCCTATCAGAGCGACAGTTTCTCCCTTCCTGGAACAAAACATGTTCATCTAGTGGGAACATGAGAGAGAGAGAGAGAGAATGATTGCCAAGAAATGACCAAACACATCCATTTTATCCATAAATACAGAGCAAGCACACACCGAGGCTCCTTTAAGGCTTGCAGGGGAGGCTCTGCCAAGGTGTATTTTCAGAATGCTAACGAGGAAGGGACAGAAGGCCAAGGTTGACAAGTGGTCTGCTCATAAGGTGGAAGCCACAAGATTGTGTATGCGTGTGTGAAATGAGAGAGACAACAACCGCAGGCAGGCTTGTCAGCTCAACTTGTGAAAGGAATGCCGTGGGCTGCTGTTTGCATGATATACAATACTAATGGGTGACTACAATTACAAGACAATGGCTAGGATGGCTCCCAGCTGTTGATCATTACAAAGAGGTGTCAATCCTCTGAGCGGTGCCCAGAGCAGCCCTGCAGAATTGACATCTATCTCCAAGCCGATGAGCCGGCGTTTCCAACAGCAAAGCCGTGGGGGGTATAGGTTTGTCCAGCGAGCTACTCTTCTCGGGGTTCAAACCCCCTTGTTTTGCTTTCAGTGTACCTGGAGAGAAGCGCTTCTAACTGGCCACTGAGCCATGGGCTGCCGCTGTTCAACCCGGCATGTCTATAGCCTGGAACAATTCGCAGAGACGGGCAGAACGATGCCTTACGCCTCCCTTGCTGCGCCTGACAAGCGCCTCTGCTTTGCCTCTCAGCTCAGACAACGGCAGCGCGGAAAAGCGTCAGCCCATTTCACAGAAACGCCTGATAAAAGTTTGGGATGGGAAGGCAAGAGGGGCGCTGCTTCGCCTTCCCTCCCACCCCCACCCCGTCCCACCTTTCTCCCCATGCATCCACCAGCTCCTGCCCCCCATCCCTCAGCAAATCCCAGACTTACAGGGCAGCCTCCTGCCGTGGCTGTGAGCTTCAGGTCCTGACATCGCCTTCAGAGAGGATGACAGCTCAAGCAGTGAATCAGCCTCTGTCCCGGGGATCCCCCTGATCCGCCCCTCGCAGCAGGTCAGAGGCGAGGTCCTTCCGCAGCTCCCAGCAGTCTTCTCATCTTCCCAAGGAGTGGTCCAACTCCGGGGCTGCTCTGACCGCCAGAGGAACTCAGGCTGCCTGCCTGCCTGTCTCCCAGCTCTGGCTTGGGAAGGGCTGGCTGGGACTTCAGGCAGAGCGTACCAAGTGGTTTATCAGCGAGGGGGGGGGAGGCGCAGCTCTCAAAGGGGCTTTCCCCCACCTCCCTACGTTGCCTGTACCATTGGCAAGATCAGAAGCGAGGGGGGGAAAGGCAGGGAGGAGGAGGAGGAGGTGGGTGTTTTGGTTTCACTGCTGGCGGCTGAGTCTGCCGCAGAAACCCCCTAAGTAAGAACATCAGAGCATCCACTCCCTGCGACTTGAAAAGGCTCGGCTCCGCGGCAGCAGAAAGGCAGCAGCGAAAGGGAAACCACGATTCACGCAAACGAGGCGAGCTGGAGGCAGGAGCGGATGGGGGAGAAGTAGGAGCCATTAGTGAACTGGGGTCTTAGTGGAGGTGTCTATTAACTGTCAGTGCCTGACGACAATGCCCACCCCGGCAAACCGAAGTTGTGGTTCTGCCAGCGTGATGCTCTTTGCAAGGGCGGTAGCTCAGGGGTAGAGTATTTGCTTTGCATGCAGAAGGCTTCAGGTTCCATCTCCTGCATCTAAAGGAGGAACGGAGAAAGATCCATGAGTGGAATCCTGGAGAGCTGCTGCCAGCCAGTGTAGACAGTACTAGGCTAGATGGCCCAGCAGTCTGACTCAGTGCAATGCAGCTTCCAATGTGAACCTTCACCCTGCGCCTATGAGTGAACAGCATTGCTTCACACTATTCCTAGGTGGGCCACAGTTTATGGACAGGGAACCTGTGGCCCTCAAGATTTTGCTGGGCTACAACTCCCAATACCCCTGATAGTTGGCCATACTGGCTGGGGCTGATAAGAAAACGACATGTTCCCCATCTCTGCCACAATACCTTGGTATGCCTCTTGTTCAAATTACATTTTAAGACACACACACACACACACACACACCTTTTGCTTAACAGGACAGCTTTCCCTCTGAAAGTCTGCCTATATTTGCACCTGTGCATATAAATTGGGATATGTACGCTATGCAAATTTGCATCACGGGGCTGTTTTGCACAGCCTTTCAATGACCTAGCAGCACACATGAGTTATGATTTAGGCTGTCTCACATTTATTGGGTGACCGTGGGGGAGAGGGGAGGTATTCACTTTCTACCTTCACACCCCATTGCAGAGGGAATTCGAGCATGTAGGGCAGGCTCCACATTGTAAGTGGAAAATCAAGGTCTGTCCGCTTGCCTGAGGATGATATCGGTAAAGAATGCTTAGTGCTTCTTAAAACACATGGGGCATGTGATGATAGATACGTGATGGTACTAAGCAGCTAATAGCTTTGGGAGTCCATTTTTACATAATCACCTATTCTGTGTCTTTCCTACCTGCTCTAGAAATCCTATTCCTGAGCTACAAACCACCTCAGTCGTATTATTGACTGGTTTGAAGAAGTTCTTCCCACCACACCTAATTTACGGCATTCTGCGCCACAAGATGTGCTTATGGCCACCAGCTTTGATCACTTTCAAAGCAGATCAGACACATTAATGGACTGTAAGCCTTTCAATTGGTATTAGTGATTATGACTATTATAAGGGCTCCCTTTTTTCAGAGCATTAAGCTGCTGAATGCCAGTCGCTGGGGTAAGGGACAACAGCCTGAGAGGGCTACTGCCTCTGTGAGCCACTGGTGGGCTACCAAGAGGCATTTGATTGGCCACTGAGGGAAACAGGATTTTAGGTTCAGTGGGCCGTTTGACATGGCAGAGCTGTTCTTATGTACTTATCCCTGTTTGGGATCTGTGCCTTGGGGCCCAATCCTGAACTCCATCCCCTCAAAGTCATGGAGAACCAGCGTGCTATAGTATAGTAAAGATTAGCTAAAGGTACCCCTGCCCGTACAGGCCAGTCTTGACAGACTCTAGGGTTGTGCGCTCATCTCACTCTAGAGGCCGGGAGCCAGCGCTGTCCGCAGACACTTCCGGGTCACGTGGCCAGCGTGACAAAGCTGCTCTGGCGAGCCAGAGCCGCACACGGAAACGCCGTTTACCTTCCCGCTAGTAAGCAGTCCCTATTTATCTACTTGCACCCAAGGGTGCTATCGAACTGCTAGGTTGGCAGGCGCTGGGACCGAGCAACGGGAGTGCACCCCGCCACGGGGATTCGAACCGCCGACCATGCGATCGGCAAGTCCTAGGCGCTGAGGTTTTACCCACAGCGCCACCCGCGTCCCACGCTATAGTATAGGGGTGGACACAATTCACGCTTCCTAGAAATTGTGTTAGTTTTTCAATAGACCACAAGCAAGGTCCCTCAATTAAAAATGGGGGGCAGGCGGCGGTATGCAGTTAGATTTAAGGTTTTCTCTGAGTATACACACACACACACACACACACACACACACACACACACACACACACCACATATATATGTGCAGAGCCCAGGCATTTGTTTTAATACAAGAACAATCTTTTTACACCGAAATCCATTCCTGGTTTTCTGTTAAGCTTGATCCATTTCAGCAGCCTGATATGGAAATAGGGGAACACCTACCTTCTTTGCAGGGGCAAAACTAGACTTTATTTCACCTGGGCCAAAGACCCTATTTGGCACTCCCCCCCCCCCCCCCCGTGAGGATTTGTGTACACAGAGAGAGACTGGGAGCCTCAATGGCACCCCTCTGGAGGCTTCGCCTGTGGACAAAAAAAATAAATTATCTGGCTAACTACCATACATTTTTTTAGATTTACAAGGAAATCTAAAAATTTGGATGTGAGGAATCCACTTCTCTCTATGATTTGCTCCTGTTTTGTTGGACAGGCAGTGCAGGACTTTCAGGCAGGTGCACTCTATCCCATCCATGCCTGCATCCCAGAGACTTGCTGCTTCGCATTCCCAGCTGATCACAGTCAAGTTAACCTCTTTCCATTCTTGTTTTTCCAGAAATGGTAAGATGAAGACAGGCACTGCCATTCTCCCAGCAGTACTGGGTGTTGGTGTGGGTTATAACAATAGCCACTACCGATAATCTCTAGATCAGGGGTTGCAAGCCTTTACAGGCTAGCGGGCAAATTTAGAAAGCGACATGGATGCCGACAGGTCACAAAATGGCGGCCATGAGCTTGTGGCATAACACAAAATGGCTGCTTTAATGTGTGAAATAACACAAAATTGGGGGAGGTGGTAGGCTGTTTGCCAAGACACTTCTAGTTCCTGGATCCAGCAAGTGTTAAAATCTAAGCAAAGATTTGATTCCTGGAATAGCCAGCCTAGCTTCCTGGTGAGGTAATGGCCCAAGTACGGGTCATTAAGGTAACAAAGGAAGTGGCTCTGTGCCAGAGTTCATATGGGTGGACACCCCCCCCCTTCCCTCAACTGTCTGGTAGTTAGAAAGACAAAGGCAAGGGTGGAGAGTTGAGTTAGGTGAGCTAGAAGCTAGAAGGAAGCAAGGCTGCAGGCTGGACAACTGGGAGACAGAGCCATGCCTGATTTCTGCTTGAATCCAAGGCTAGGGCTATGGCAGAAGCAAGACCGTCTTGGGGTGTTAATGCCATAAACCCCTTCATCGTAGGCTCGGGCAAATAAATAGATGTCTAAATAAACTATGTGTCACAAAGACACCACAGTCTCTTCTGTACTTCATTCCAAAGGAAACATGATCCCTGGGTAAATGCCTGGAATTTCGCACCACTCAGAGACTGGGGTAGTGTGCAACGATCTTCTTAAAATAACACGCTTATGTAATACAAAACAGTATAAACCCGTATCAGAATGCATTTCTTGTGTTTTCAGATCTCTAGGGCAATTTGCAGCAATACTGCCTACATACTTTTTCCTACATATAGCAGCTTTTGTTGCAAAGGAGAAACCTTCTTTATCACATGCTGATTAGTGGCTTATAAGCAGGAAACCCAAAGCTTCCTTTCCGCATCCCAAAATAAATAAAATAAATAAAATGAAGTGGTAGAATGGACTGTACTACTTCAGATTGCAAGTTTGTTTTATGCTGCCATGTGCCTCAGAATAAGCCTGTAAAGCCTCATATATATATATATATATATTTGCTTTCGTAGATTTTCACGGGTACAGGAATGCAGGTTTTGGTGTCCTCGGGTGTCTTCCCGTGTAAAAGTTGGGGTGTCTAGGCGACGTTTCGACGAGGTCTCACTCGTCATCTTCAGGCTGGTGCTTTCGGCTTCTTGTTACTGGAACTGCATACTAATTAAATCAATGTGTTATGCTTTAAACTCTTGCACAGTCTTTTCTAGGAGAGAAAAAGAGAACTATATTTTTTTTCAAGGGTCCAATGGCCTGGGACAGCTTTCGCACATATAAATACCACCACCACAACCCTTCAACATAGGCCAGAATCATAATTTCCACATTGCATATGAGAGGCTGAGAAAGAGCAGCTTTCCTAGCACTGCTTAGTGAACGATGGCGCAGATGGGATTTGAAACCGATTTGTTCTGGGGGAACCACAGAATCAAAGGGAAGAACACTCTGAACTCCATCCCTCAGCCAGAGGTTTATGGGTAGATGTCTGGGTTTTATTTGTTTGTTTGTTGTATTATTGCAGACTGTTGTAAGCCACCATGCAGACAATTTGATTGTAAGGCAGGGAATTAAACTTCAAAATAAAATAAAACACAGCACAGCAATTTAGTGCAATCAAGCCCAGAGCTATATGAAACACAGTGAAAATGTTTCTACTCCTCTTTGATGAGATTACTTTTTAGGAAGGGGCGGGAGAAGATTCATACAGTTTCATTTATTCATTTGTTTAAGAAATGTATGCCCCTCCATTCTGTTTGTGACCTCCAAGACAATAGAAGAACAAATAAATTACAGTATATTGCATCTAGAAACCAAATAAAAACCCACAAGTAAAAAGTCACACCTTCAGCACCAGCATTACTACCATCAATCAAATAGCTCAAAATTAAATATGCAGCATACAATTGCAGCAATCAAGTGAGCATGTCTGGAAGGGGGATGTTCTATGGTCAGGGTACCCCCACTGAGAAAGCCCTGCCCCTGATAACCACTTACAGCCCACCCAATCCCCAAAGGA